CGGGCTTGGAAGAACCCCAAGTCATGCTTATTCCCTCTCCCCCACGTTCTTCTTTCCAGCCCTCACCGACTCCCTAGACTTAGTCCTCCCATAACCCTCTCTCTTTTCCCACTGTGTGTTGCCAAATTCAATACCAGGAGTCTCCATCTACAGGGTATGATTTCACAATAATGGGATCTCGCACCAGGTGTCCTTTCTTTATTACGGATCATTTCTGAGATCCTGGCTCGCTGCCACCAAGTATAATTTGAGCCTGCTGCTCCTCGTTCCAGTGCCGTTCGTTCTCCCTCCACATGGAGTCAAGCGCGCAGCCAGCATCTGACTGCTCAGCCTCTCCCTAAGCACCAGGAGGGCTCCAGAAGTGCTCTCTCCCACCTCCTTGGATACACCACTCTTCAAGAGCCTGCAGACGTTCCTTTTTTGGGACTAACCTCCCCCCCCACCTCCCCCAAGGATGCTGCTTGAGGGATTTAGGAAGCTGCCGACTGAAAACGGAATTTTTCCAAACTCTTTTGGGTTCCGACAAGGCAGACAACACTGTGCCTAAAGCCATCTGTTTTGTTTTGTTTTGTTTTTCCAACTCTAAAGTAAATACCATAACGCACCCCAGCGGTACTTAATTTCTAAACACAAACAGAGGCCGCTTGCCAGCTGTACTGTTCCATTCCGAAACACATCCTAGGACTCAAGGTTGCAAGCAAGAGGGCAGCAATTCAACGGAGCTGTGGATTCTCTCACCAAACACCAAAACAGAATTATCCAGATCCCGCACGATCTGTGCTGAATCCTACGATCTGCCTAAACAGTGCCCCTAAAATGCATTTCCACGGATCTTTTCCTTTTAGCTCTGGCGAAAGCCCTGGGTTTCGGCTCTCGGCTTCCTCTCCAAGCCCTCTTGCCGTTTGGCTCTTCCTTTCCCCCAATGTCACCCGGAGGCTCTTGCACCCTCATCCGAAGCGCATTGACACCTGGGGCCCCCCAAGGCCCACCCTCACATCCTTCCTGGCCTCCAGGCCAGGGCATGGGAAGGGATGTGTCGCCCAAGGTCACCCTGAGTCATTGCTTCCTTCAACCCAAACAAAACGGACAGTGAACTTCCCCTTGCTATGGAAAATGTCACTCTTCGGAAGCCGGGACTTCGAGACCAGTTGGACTCAGCTGAGAACAGATGCCCTCCAGCCACTCCTTCTCCGTCAGCTCCCATGGCAGGAAGAGGTGTTTAAAGACAGCCATAACATAAAAAAGGGAGCCCTCCAGCCTCAGCATTGAGTCACGCCATGTTTATGTCTGCAAGCAATGAGGAGCACCAAGGAGCTAACTTATGATTAATGCTGCACATAAAGCAGTTTACGAGGCTGCAGGAAGGTCTGTACAACACGGCTATAAAACAAATATAAGCTTGATTTTTCCCCTGTTTGACATAATGGCTAAGAGTCAAACTACACACTATGTTAAATGCACAGCTTGCACTTAAAAGATCTTTTCTCTTTTTTTAACATGGATATAGATATATGGGGCCTGATCCATGTTAGACCCATTGCATGTGTGTGGGATGGTGATTAAACCTTCCAGACAGTTATTTCTCCCCCTCCCTAAGTAAAGCTGTGCCTACAAGACCAAATACTGCAGAATTTGCTGCAATTACAGTATGGGTCAATTTGAAGTATTTTTCTTTTTAATTGCAAAATGCAAAGGGTGATTCAAATCGCTCCCAATGCGGCCTTTTTTCTCCAACACTTGCGGGCTTTTATTTTATCCGAGCCGGAACAATTGAAACAGACCCATGTGATGGGTCGATTTGTCCTTGTAAAGTTAGGGAGCATGTCTATGGGTGGTGTTTTGGGGATGCAGGCACTTGGGGCATGATGCTCAGGACCACAGGAAAACCTGCCCCCACGTTCTTCCTCCCTGATCATCCTCCAAATTTAAAAATATATATATGTTTTACATAGCAGCACTAGATCACCTTATCACTACTGTTGGCATACTAACTTAGCACTAGATTACTTCCACATGAGGATTTTTTTTCCAAAAAGTTACAAACAAAGCAGAAAACAAATTAGATGAAATAAAATACGTTTCTGTGGTACGTTGTACTTCTGTACATGCTACGATGAATTTTGGGATGTTGCCACCTTTTCTGTAACGTTGTACAACCCTTTCAAAATCCAGCAACCGAACAGTGAGCCATAAAAGGATTGGCAGAGGCAGGACCAGAGGCAGGAAGGAAGGGAGGGAGGGAGGAAGCGAGGAAGGAAGGGGCTGAAATGCAAATCACATTGCATTATGATGTGGGCTGAAATGCAAATCACATTGCATTATAAACACCAAACTCCCGAATCAATCCACAGCCTCTGTCTGATCAAATTGACTGTGATTTCAGCTACAATACAGACTGTGAATCAAAATGCAGTAATGCCAGTTCAGAGCCCTTCTGCTTGCCCATGTAATCACAACATCTCGGAAGATTCTCCCTTGCCGGGGAGCTGAATTTGCTTCTTTAAAAATAGCTATAGAGGAACGTTTGGCCATCCAGACGAGGACAATTAAACAGCAAGTTCACTACATTAACCTCGAAGTAAAACAAAAAGAGCTTTCACTTGAAGAGAATTCTCTTTCACTCAAAAAAGGAAAAGAAAGAGAAAAGGGAAGAAAAGAAAATAGCATTGTAAAACTGTCGTTGTTTTCACCACCACCCCCAAGACAGAAAGGGAACAGGTAATAAATTTCAGATTGTATTAAAAAGAAAAAGCTAACAAAACGCAAGTGTGTCCAATACCAGATGTATTCAAAGCCACTTCAGAACGGTAATAATTATGGAAGGTCCTGCCCATTCATCAAACCTACCTTTTCAACTTTCCCCCCCCCTCCCCTCATTTCAAAGACAAGAGAACACTCTATATAGCACAGAAAAGTTTCCATTACAGGGGGAGACAAACCTTTCTTTTCATGCCCCGAACAATTATCTCCTGTCAAAAGTCACTTTAATGTTGGTTTGCTTGACGCTGTCTAAACCTTAACCTCCCGTAGGGACTGAGGAAGCCTGCAATCCTAGTTTGTTGGCTTTCATGGGAAAGACTTCAACTGTACTTATTCCAGATTGTGCCGCTTAACCCGGAGTTTCTCTGGCATGACGCGGACCGGGTCTGGCTGCAAACAGGTTGGCAAAGGGCTCTCCCTCACAGCAGATTTTATCTAACAGTCTTGTTTATCCCCACTCAAAGAGGGGCCAACGAAGGACGGCAGCAGAACAGGGGGTCTTGAGGATGCTGCCCTGTGAGCCAGAAGGAAAGCCGCCGTTTCCAAAAGTATTGGATAGAAAATGAGCAGGTACAATAGACAGTTCATCTATTTTATGAGCGTCGTTTTCTCCAGCATTTACGGCAGGGACAGCGTTCCTGGTACTTAAAAGTGGCTAGAGAGCATGTAGTATATATATCCAGATCTTTTCCCCTGAATGCAAATTGTGTGGCCAGAGATTATCACTTTAGTCATAATTGATTAAATCCCCTTGTTGGCCAAAAAAAAAAAAAAAAAAAGGGCAGGAGGAAAGCCATACAGGTCATATACAGTGGTGCCCCGCTTGACGATTACCTCGCTGTACAGTGAGGTTTTAGATTGGAAAAAATGCTTGACGATCAGTTCCCTGCTTCGGGAACCGATTTTTCAGTTAATGACAATCAAAACAGCTGATCGTCGGGTTTCCAAAATGGCTCCCCGCTGTGTTAGGGACGGATTCTTCGCTCTACAGGGAGCAGAAAATGGCCACCCTATGGAGGATCTTCGCTTTACGATGAGGTATTTCGCCCATTAGAACGCATTAACCGGTTTCTAATGCATTCTAATGGGCTTTTTACTTTCGCTTGATGACGATTTCACTCTACAGCGATTTCGCTGGAACGGATTAACGTCGTCAAGCGAGGCACCACTTACACAGTCTGATGGCAAGGAAGATCGCTACCTTTCGTAGACCATGACAACCTCAAACTAGCTTTCGGTCCTGTGCAGGAAGAAGAAAACAGAAAAGTTCCGAAAAACATGCCTGGGCTAATTCCTTGGAGGCCTGCTAAGATCTGTGTTCAAACAGTAAGCAGTCCATATATTTTTCTTTCACAGCAGGGACTGGTAAAAAAACAGAATTACATTAGGAACTGGTGCCTGGGTTGATCTTGTTTTCCATTCCTCGCTCCAGCTTTAACCTCTTCTGTACTGTATATTTTTTTAGATTGTGAGCCCAGAGACATATGCTACCTTGTTTTTATTACTCCGAAAGCCACATTGGGAATCTTTCCAGCTGAAAGCATAAATACTTACATCTGCCTGTATCATGCTTGCATCCTTAAAACAAATATGACGGCCAGAATTTCATGTGCTAAGTTCACCAGCATATGTGCAGTGACGTAAACTGCAGTGGCAAATTGCCACTCGTTACACATGGCGGCTGGTATCCCTCATCTTGCACGCGTTGCAGGAGCTGATGCACTTTAAGGGATGCAAGGGGCAATGTTGGAACCGCAGCAATGTGCTGCTACGCATGATGCGGCCGAACTGTCCCACAGGATTCCTCCTTTGTCCTGCTTAATTTTGGATGCTCATCAATAACTGTTGGCCCGAGAGGGCTTTAAATGTGTTTTAGTATTGATTTCATAACTATTTTTTAATGTAATCCTTGTTTGATTTTTTTTCAAATGTTTGTATACCTACCGTTTTTATTTTTTAAATATTGTCTTTTTAATGATACCAGCTGCCTTGGGTTTTTTTAAAGGAGAAAAGGAGGGGGGGATAAAAATACTTTAATTAAATCAATAAGCAAGCAAACGTCTTGAAGCAGGGACACACGGCTTGCTTCTCCTCCTCTACAAACCACCACAAACCGTAGGTATTATAATTGCACATTCTCTGTTTCTGTCAAACTCCACGGGCTTGAACCTCTGAAGCCCCCCTCTCTCCCTCTTCCTCTTCCGGAAATGCCCCCACCCTCTGCGGACATGATTCCGTACCTGTTTCACAGTTTGACCCTGTGTGGCCTGGGCAGCATTTCCACTCCAGCGCAGTGACAGTTTTGTACGCCTGCTTGTAGGTTGGCCTGACAATCGTTCTGTAGCTGGAAGGGGAAAGAAAAACAGGAAGAGCTACTTTGGGAGTCAGGACACGTGGCTGTTCACAGAGACCGTGCGCTGGAAAGGATGACAGAATGGTGAAGAGGGGTCTTCAGGGCTTCAGTGGCACCCCCTTGGCACGCCCAAAGCCCCCTTGTCCCGCGATACAACGTGGGAAGCCAAAGGGCTGGAAAACCCAGTGTGCTGGAAAGGAATGGCAAAAAGAGGATCATCCACAGCTTCTTCCCGGACCTCTAAATGTCCTTTAATGCAGTGGTCTCCAACCTTGGGCCTCCAGATGTTCTTGGACTTCAACTCCCAGAAATCCTGGCCAGCAGAGGTGGTGGTGAAGGCTTCTGGGAGTTGTAGTCCAAGAACATCTGGAGGCCCAGGGTTGGGGACCACTGCTTTAATGGACATCCTAGCTCAGTGGCTTAGATCTCCGGCTGTGCAACCAGAGGTTGAGAATTCAATACTCCACGGGGCTTCCTTGAGAGGGGGTGGAGGAGTCAATGGTTCCCTTCCACCTCTGGAGTTCAAATGTTAGTAGCAGTCGTATATATCGGGGTGGGTTGCATGCAGCACCCCATGACCGTTTCTTTCAATCCCCCACTCCGCTCATTGGCTGAAAAAATGGCTTAGCTACCTTCCAGCACTTGCCAAAGAAGATGATTGACCACCCCCCCCCCATGAACCATGTCTGGCTCCCCTGGACCTGTTTTAGGACTTGGAGAGAAGGTGCTTTTTGTATGACTGGAAATGACTAATTTTCCACTTCCAGGTCCAACTTTTCTTTCTTTCTTTCTTTTTTTCAGGGTGGGGTGTGGAAGGGGCTGAGAGGTTTGGGGCTGGGGAGGTTCAGGCAGGCTTCATGATCCTCCCCCCCCAAAAATAGCCTAAACAATAAAGAGAAGTCTAAAATGTTCTTCATTGGATCATAAAAGGCCAATGATCTAAGCAAGCCCTCATTCCAGGCTGAACCACCTTGGATATGAAGACAGAAATGCACCCGTTGTCAGCTTCTAGGATGCAAAATATCCGCTTTCCCCACAACACACCAAGCACCATACCCAGATGTGGTATGCATGAATCTCTGTGGCTGTTGGGGTGGAGTTAGCTCCAGGACGATCTGTGGCTTTGGCTTCCAGCAATTCTTGACCCATGGTAGGTCTGAGAGGCGTTGACTTCTCCAACATCAAGCGAAGGCATGACAGAGCCTGGCCTTTGTCAAAGGCAGCCTCCCCAATATGGCGCCCTCAGGATGGGCCAGGCTAACAGAGATCTATCTCAGAGTTGTAATCTACACAACGGGTGTGAGGCCCAACACCTATGCCCTTAAATCACATTATTCCAACGTGTGCCCTTAAATCACATTATTCCAAAAAATGGCTTGCTCTCTGGGAATTGGGGAGGACAATCCCATGAGGCATGGGGCCGCTCATTCCTTTTCTGTAGGTTTTGGGCCTGATCCTGCAATCTTCATCTCCTTCCCCTCCATCCCACAAAAATTTATATATTCCTCTTGAGTGGCCAATTTTTAAAAATTAAGGATCGGTCCGTGAGATCAGGAGCGTCTGGGTCCCCCAAATCATGGCCAAAGGGGAGGGGGTTACTTCTTCAGTGTCCTGATTTTTTCCCAAAATATTTTTAATCTTGGAAGTTGCTTTTTCCAGACCACAGGTTCTCTCCGAGACTCCCAGCCAGCCAAACAAAGGTTTTTAAATTTTGCTTTCCGACCCCAGCACAACTTTTCCGCCCCTTCCCTCTGTCTGGCAAGGACGTCCTGAGGGTGCAATATACGAAGGGACAAATTCACCCATCCACCCCTGAGAACATTCAGGAGGTGACTGAAGACATGGCTTTTCAGGGGGGCTTTCCACCCCGACCCACGTAGCTGACCGCCATTTTGTTGTTCTATAGCTTGCACGAACATTCAGGAGGTGACTGAAGACATGGCTTTTCAAGGGGGCTTTCCAACCCGACCCCTTAGCTGACCGCCATTTTGTTGTTCTATAGTTTGCATCATCTGGCTTTACTGGTTAGCTGTTATTCGGTTTTAAATAGTTTTCATTTCGTTCCGTTTTGTTTTCTTATTGCAAACTGCCCAGAGTAGTGCTTAGGCACAAATGCTACACAAATGTAATGAATTAATAAATTCAGCAAGTGAAATGTTCACTCTCCTTAGGTTCAATGTCCCAGTCGGAAGCCTATCAAGCGATAAAACAGAGGCCGTTGGACGTAGAGATACCGGAACTGCACAGGGCTGAGAACAAGACCAGTTCGTCCTTGTGTCTGCCGCCTGTCAACCAGCACAGCCCCTTTTACCTGCCAAAATGACCCCCAGGAAAGCAGGGCGTTTACCCTTGCTAGATGCAACACCATTCTGTCGGCCATGCTGTGTGGAAGATTCAAGGGGATCCCATCCTGCGAGAGGTGCTGCTCACCCAAGCTGGGTGGAGCGGAGACACTCTTCCACATGATTCTGTATTGTCCATTCTATATGGATCTCCGCAGGAAACACCTAGACCCATGTGGGTTAAACGAGAGGGAATGCTGTTCGAATGCTGACACCTTGAGGCATCTCCTGTCAACTGGAGAGTCAGTTATGGTGGAGAACATGGCGGCCTTTTTGAATCGGATAGCGAGAAGCCACAGGTTGAGACATAGCGAATTTGTAGATTCGGTTAACTAATAGTTTGTTGTTACCCTATACATGCGGCTGTTTTATATAGGCTAATGAAGGCTTTTAATTGATTAACTGATTGACTGAATGTTGGGACACCAGCTTGGTTCGGAAGGACCCTTCAAAGTGAGGCAAAAGCTTTCTTCTTCCAGATGCTTTCTTCGTTTGAGCGTGCGATGATGAAGGAGCTCAGCCCATCACCCCACTTTGTCCCGGCGTCCAGTTAAAAGCTTTCTTCTTCCAGATGCTTTCTTCATTTCAGCGTGCGATGAAGGAGCTCAGCCCATCACCTCACTTTGTCCTGGCATCCAGTTTTTTGTTGTGTGTATGTGTGTGTGTGTGTGTGCTGCATGTCTGAGCCTCGTGAACAAGCAGGAAAAGGAGAGACCCCGTGAAAGGCGGTGTGGCTTCCTTACCTGCCTCCTGTGCAACCCAGAGGCCAGCGACAGCTCTGGAAGACTCTCTGGAGGTAAGTGCCATTCTGAATGTGGCAGGAAACGGTCCGGGCGACCGTGTAGGAACACCAGTTCCTGGAAGAGAGGAAAGAAAGAAGAGGCGTCAGCCTGACTGGTGGAGAAAAAACCACTGTGGGAGAAGCCACTCTGTCCCCGCTTCCCCATCCCCTGCGTTGCTAAGGAGCTATCCAAAGCAGAAATCCCAAACGCTGGGCCTCATATGTTCTTGCCGTGAAGGGTGAGGTGACTGCCGACGTCCTGGGAGTAACGATCTGTTTTGGGTTTTCCTATGAACTCTGGAAGAGCTATTCAAGGCAGTGATCCTTTTGTGGCTCAAGCTGCCTGGATAGCTCCTGTGAAGTTCGGACTAAAACCCAGAACGGATGTCACACCTCCACTCTGTTTGGACAACAACTTCCAGAAGCCCTGGCTATTTGCTGTGCTAACTATTGCAAGTTCTAGTCCAAGCACATCAGGGAACCCCCCCCCCCCTGTTTGGGAGCCCCTGTCCTAGAGGCATCTGTTGGGCTGAATTTAATTCTTTCTTTTAATCCATTAGGCCAGTGGCCTGGGGCAGTCTTGTCAAGAGTGGCACACTTTGTTCCTGTCGTTTCTTTTGAAGACCCTTTGCAAGCTTCCCTTTTAGGAAGCTGAGAAGGTGCGGAAAGGGACCATTAACATGAACAGCCCAGCCCTTCCGTTTGCATAAGGAGCTACTCTTTACGTAGGCTCCACAATTTCACAATCCGTCTCACAACAATGCAGCAGGAGTGTGGCCTTCATGGACAGGAGATTTTCTAGGAATTTATTCAAGCCCTTCTATACCTGTATAAATGGCAGCATCAAATGGCCACTAATAAACCCCTTGCCACTCCTATTCCTGGTCACGTGCCAGTCACGTAACTTAGTGCGTGGCCAGAAATGTGAGCAACAGCTGATTCATTAGCAGTCCTGTACCACCACACTCCCCCCCCCCAATTTCCTTTACAGTGACACAAATCCCCGATAAAAGTGTGAGCACTGTGTTATTAATTCCGCATTATTTTAAAGCTTTTGTATGCCACCCTTCAGCTCAGGCGAGGCGGGGCAAGAAACCTTCCTGAAACCCTGCTGAGGCACGGCTCGCAATGCTGAGCTAGACTTAGCAATGGTCGGAGTCGCTCACTACAAGGCAGCATCCTTTGCTGACATGTATTTCTATTATTTTTTAAAGTTGCCATTGCATAGTGGTTAGATTAAACTAGGACCCAAGAAACCAGGGTTCAAGAGCTCCCTGGAGGAAAAGTTCCACTATACAAAAGACGTCGGCATTTGGATGTTCCATTTTGAATTTCTCACAATGGTGGGAACTCGGACAGAAAGAAACTGCCCCATTCCCTCCCTCCCTCCCGTTGGTATCCAACAGACTGGGCGAGGCGTACTTAATCTCTTAATTTCAGGGATGTGGACTTGAGTCACAGGATTTGTTGTCAAGTCAGACCTAAGTCGCACCTGTGACTCATATCGGGGTAGTTTTTCAATGACTTAGATTTGACTTGAAACTCTAAAACCCCCCTCCCACTTTTTTCTATGGGGAAAAAAATCATTTTTAATAGGGACTTGGGACTTGAGACTTGGTACCAAAGACAGACTTGGGACTCAGACGCAAAGACTTGCCAATATCCCTGCTTAGTTTTATCCCTTTTTGCTTCCAGAGGTCGTACAAATTGTAAAATACGGGGACCTGGAATTTCACCGGCCCAATCTTTACGGACTCGGAATGCTTTCAGGACTGTTTCGGTAAAAGCCAGCTGGAAACGCACTGCGCACTCTTTGACCTCGGTTTCACTCCCAGCAGCCCCCCCATGGGTTTCCCCTGGTTCATAATCGATGCTTCACGGAGGCCAAGAAAGCGAAGTATTGGAAGGCACTGAATGAAGGCTCCTTCTGCCAGCGCAGCTCTATACGGTCTCCCCGCATTCTGGTCGAAAACCATATCAAGGGCAGGAGAAGGGCAGCTTTGATAGCGGAGTGTTGAACTTTTTTCGGGTGCAAACATACTGCATGCTGCCGAAAGGGTGCAAACCCACCTTTTGGGACTTCCTTCTGGAAAAGCAGCAACCCACCCACCCTAAAGCATCCGTACTGCCTCCAGACACTCCTCCCTGGGCAGAATGAGACACAAAACAGGGAAAGCGCGGCAGCATAGACCCAGCATGACCACCCTGTCCTCAGACGTTTTCTCCCCGTTCTGCCTTTCTCTCCCCCAATCTCAACATGAGCCGAGCTTAACTAGTAGGGGAGAAATGCTCCAGGTGCCAAAGCTGCTAATGAGGGCTCGGGGCTCCTGGCAAGGAGAGAGTCTGGCGAACGCTGTGCATGTGTGTGCATAGAAGCAAGCGGGTCTGTCTGTACGAAAAGGGGAGGGGAGGGGACTTGGAAAGCCTGGAAATGGACCCTGGAGAGGTGATTAAGCATTCCGGAGAGCAAACAGGAAGGGCAATCCCCTCCAGCTCCGGGAAAGCTACGCCAAGTTCTGAACTTGAGAGGTCTGTAATTTTTTTTCATGCCAGGGCCATAAACTCCAAGCTGGCAGGCCGAAGGAAAGAAACGCTCGCTAACCCGGTGGGGGGTTCGCATGACCTAGCAATGCTACCCTCGCCATCAGTCTCGAGACGGAATGAAGTGGGGAAAAGAGAGACTGAGAGAGAGAGAGAGAGAGAACTGAGCCGTGGCCAAGAAGTTTCTCCGAGTACAGCTTAGGGAACAATCCAATAACTGGAACTGCAGATGCGGCCACAGCACAAGTAAGCCGGGGGTCTGGTTTGGAGCGATGGCCCCATCTGAATGGAAAGGGGAGCCTCCCCACAGCTCTGAGCTGGGTGTCCCGCGTCGGGTCCCGTCCGTGAGGGCCGGCCATTATTCGGCCTCCCTCTCGGACAGGATCCGACTTCCCAGAGGCTACAGCTGGCGGATCAAAGGCATCCAGTTTCTTGAGATCAACGGCCAAAACCCGGGGGCCAAACACCTAGCCCTGGTGCCAGCTAGGAGTGAGGGGAGTCGGGCGCCTGGGCTTTAGAGCAAAATGATGCATCCGAATCAAATCTTTTCCTCTCGCAACATCGCTTGCTGGGGGAGCCCTTCGTGGCGAGCCAAGGAATTAGACTAGTGGGACCCCCTGAGATCCAGCAACCCTACAGGAAGGAGACCCAGTTTTTTGGCATATGCTGCTGCTCATCGCTGCTTTTGATTTCTTTCATATGAAATGTCCTGTTCTTAGAGCAGATTCCCAAACAGTGTACAAAAAAAGCACTTTACGGGTCACTGCAGTGGAGTGGCTAGAGTCTGGGACTTGGGAGATCCCAGTTCTGAGGTTCCTGCTCAGATCTGGAACTCAAGGATTCATCCAGCCTGGAGCGGGCTGAATAGGACTGAATAGAGACCTATTATGCCATTTGGTGTGGCATATGTGTCCCAAGGGACCCTATTTGGTCTGCCGTCCTTAAGAGGCCAAAGAAGAAAATACCCCTCTTTTCTTCCTCCTCTTCTCTGGGAGGAAGCTTTCTCTCCTCCATCTGGGAGGAAGCTTTCCATTTTTCTTTTATTCATTCTAAAAGGTTTCGCTCCTTAGTCTGTTCTAATTGGTCTTTTTTTATTTTTAAAAAAGTTTTACTTCCTTCCTCTGCTCTTCCAGTCAGGAACAAAGGTTGAGGACTTTGCTCACATCTTTTATGAAATGCTGTAAGTGTGTAAATTAACCTAAGAGGATTCACACTCCAGCTCAAAACCATTTAAAAAAATTACCATAGTCTCCAGACATTGTTGCAGGTCTTAAGCTTTGGCCAGTTTGGGGTTCATTCTCCAGGTCGACTTAAAATTCCCAGAAATCTAAGGGAAAGCGATGTCATCAGCCTGGCAAACCTAGATTTGGAGGAGTTTATTCTCATAGCTTCAGGGCGTGCCCTTCAGACATGCTCAGAAGTACTCTTATCTTTTTCATTATCCTGCACACTCTGGGGATGCGGGTGGAATTAACACATGGGCCACTATGTTCACCACAAAATTTCACCATGGTCTGTCTGTCACATAAACATTACTGTCCAACTGTAGCTGAAGGCAGGCCCTCACTCCCTCAGGACGTCCCAAAGGTATCCCCTGAGGCCGCCAGCTTGGACCCGATGCTCAAGCCGTGAGATGCTTCTGAGCCGGTAACCCTGTTACAGATCTACAAAAAACATACCAGGCAAATAATAAAAGCACAGCGAACAAACAGCAAGCTTAACTTTTCTGTAATGATAAACCTAGCAATTAAAGAGAAGTGCTCCATGACACTGAAGCCAAAATTATAGTTAAGGAAAGAAATTTTTTTGCTGAATTTGAGCTTTCCAAAAATACATACTTTATAAGTTTTTCTCCCCGATTCCAATTTGAGGCTTGCTTTCCTTCCCATTTCTTCTGTTAAAAAAAGGGAATTTGTTTCACCCTAACACCCTCCCTCCCAATTTTTAGAAAAACCCCAAAGAGGTTCACAACAGGTTTCCCACCGAAACTTAATTCAGGAGGAGCTGCCGATGGAACAAGATCAAAGACTCGGCCCCCGTGTTCGGCAATCACAAACCGAGGTGTCCCCCCCAAAAAAAAACACCCACAACTTCCAACAGCTTCTACCGTTACAGACGACATGAAAGGCAAGGGCTGGTGGGACTGTTCAGGGAACTGCATCCCTCGCCTGAAGAGACCACCTACAAACAGTGAGCCATTCATTCTTACGGTGAAGTGAGATGCCCTCTAGCCTGCCAGGAAAACCCATAACTAGGCATTACAGGTGCCTCAGGAGGGACAAAAGAGACCTATCCATCCATCCAACCAACCAACCAACCTGAAAGTACAGTCTGTTTTTGGCATCGGTTCTCCGGTGGGTCAGGCAGAGAAAAAAGGGTATTTCCTCTCGCCTGCTCTTATTTGGTGCCTTCAACTCAGGGTGGGTTCGTTGGGTGGGTCCGGGGGGGGCAGATCTCCGAGGGCCGCACAGGACATCAACATGTGACAAAACGAAAGGAATTAAACCAGCACCCTTTGGAGTTTAAAAAAGGGAT